AAGAGAGAGATTATCTTTTAAAATCTCTTTCACTGTTTCTGTGGTTGAGCCCAGAGCCCAAATTCAACAGCTAGCTTGTAGTGGGAGCCATACTCTATGGAAGTCATCACAATCATCACTTTCCCTATTGCTTTGGTCAGATAGTCACACTTAGAATGGGAAGAGAGAACCATGTCAGCCCAGACCTCAGCAGATTAAGGGTCTTTTCCAGTGTCAGAAATGGGGACACAGTCTAAAGTCATTCAGCTCAGCCCTGTCTGTGGAAAGACAAGCAAATCAGCAAAGCCAGATGGCTATAGGCCTTAGAGTTTCCAGGGAGGGATGGTTCATACATCTCATGATAACTTTTATGTTGTTCATCAACTATCGTCAATAACGATTTATTTATGTCTAGCCCATATCTCTCACAGCAATTTCAGTTCATTTCCTATTACTCTGTAGATATGGAGAACAGATGGTCATCATTCTTATAACCTTCCAGAGAATAGAAGTTATGCACTGAAGCCCTCCAAGTGGTATTTTTTTTTCCTGACCAAAGAGTTCTAATTTCTTCATCTTTTACAAGCTTCATTTTCCCGTCAATTGTTTCATTTGAACTACATTGGATTTAAAAAAAAAATGCAGTGGTTTTACTTGAAAAAAAGAAACACAAGCTGATGATTAAAATGCTAAGATTACAAAAGAATGTGCAATGGAAAGTGAGTTTTCCTCCCACCCAAGACCCTTCCATCTTTCTCTCTGGAGGCAACTATTCTCACCAGGTGCTCCTTCCAGATAATTTTCTTGATGTATCCAAGTACGTATGAACATATTCTCCTCAAATTGTCTTCTTCATGTATTAGCTAGCTTCCCACCACTATAACAAAATACCTGACACATCTGACTTGTGAAACAAAGAACCATTCATGGTTCTAGAGATTGATGGCCCATTGCTTTGGGCCTCTGTTAAGGGCACATATCACGGTGGAAGCACATGTCAGAGCAAGGACTCACATTTTGAGCCAGGGAGCAGAGAGAGACTAGAATCCTACAATTCCCTTGTGGGGCATATCCTCAGTGACCTAAGGATATCCTATTAGACCCTGTCTCTTAAAGGTCCACAGCACTTCCCAATAGTACTGCCCTGGAGACCATGTCCTTATGTGTGGGCCTTTAGGAGACACTACTCACATTCAAACCATAGCAATCTCAACTTAGCAAATATTCCTAAGCACCTATTGTGCGTCAAGAGCTGTGCTAACTGCTGGGGCAGGGCGCAAGTGGAGTGAATAAGATGTATTTCCCTGTCCTGAGGAAGCTTATACTCTAGCAGGGGAAAAAGGCATAGTCACTCATTTATTAAATATTGATTGAGCTCTTTCTATGCTCCAGGCAGTGTGCAAATCATGGAAGGATATGTGCCTTCTACCTTCACAGAGTTGAGTGTGGTGTTGAGAATATGACTGATGAGAGAGTGTGGTGTCAAGTATCAGCAAATGCCAGGGAAGTGCCGCAACGCTCCTTGACAATTGTTTGACAACTTCTTGCGGTGTGGGCAGGGCACAATAGCTAAGCCTTACACCCAGGGGAAGGGAAACATACTGTAACTCTGTGCCTGGCACTGGGCTACACACCTGTATACATGTTGTTTCATGTCATCTACATGGCTGTACGAGTTGAGCTCCATTGCCTGTGTTTTATAAATGAGGACGCTGAAAGCTCCAGAGACATCAAGGAACTGGCTCCAAGTCACATGGCTGAGATTCAAAGTCACATAGCTGAAATTTAATGTCAAGTCTGTCTTTTTGTCAAGCTTTTTTTATTTGTTTGTTTTGGAACTGGAGATTGAACCTAGGGCCTTCACACTGAACTACATTCCCTGCCCTTTATTTTTATTTTTCGTGCTGAGACAGAGTCTCTCTAAGTCACTAAGCTGTCCAGGTTGTGTGAGTGTTCTTATCTACCATAGCCATCATAGCTTCCAGGGGCAGGGGGAAGAACGAGTAATTTAGATACACCTTCACTTCCCTCTTTCCCTATGGAAAACCCTGACCTACACATTGCTTGCGTTAGTCTCCTATTAGGCTGATTTATTTTTTACCTAAGCGATTAGATGGGAAGGAAAATGCACTACTCTGGAACTCAGGAGACCTCAGTGCTATGTCCTACTCTGCCTTCACAAGCTGTAGGACCGTGGGCAAGTCATTCTACCACCCCGTGGACCTTAGGGTCCTCAGCTGTGAAACACGGTGACTAGAGGGGATCACCTCTGGATTCTTAATAGAATTTGGTGATATTTTCATGGCCCTATTGGAGCTATAATGACATCTTCTGGGGCAAAACTACATTCCTCTCTCAGTAAAGCAGTTCAGTAACTCTATTATTTTCAAGGCAATTTGAAGAACGAATCCCCAGTGAAGGTAAACATCTGGCTTCATATTACTGACAGTGTATGATGTAAATGTGTTCATTGCTTCTTGCTTTTTGCTTTCTGCTGCTAGTTTTGACCCCCCCACCCCAATTTTCTCAATAAAGTGAAATGAGCCTTAATTAAGTGAGCAAGTGCCCATTTAATATATTCAATTTAATTAAAGAAATAATTAACTAGGAACTGGAGATAATCCTTAATGAAAATTGGGAAAAAAGCCCTCAAATTAATGGATTATTGCAGGTATGTAATAAACTGAGAACTTTGCTCAGGCTGATTTTATGCTCAGAAGAGCAGCCCCATGACGTGCTGCAAGGCACAAAAAGAGGATCTAACCCAGTCAATAAGCTCCATAAAGCTAAGAGCAGAGAGGCAGGGAGACTGCTTTGATCCAGAAAAGGAGGTGACTGAGGCATGGCCAGCAGATAATGAGTCCTGTTTTCTGCTCGTTCCATTTCACATTAAACGCAGAGATTGAGAGACCAGATGTGGTGATTTGTAAAGTAGCCTCTTCTCTGGGACTCCACAGTGACACAGGGGTGAGAAGTTAATCCTTGTGCTTAGGTAAGTGTTTCTCTTCTGTTCTCCCGCCTTCCCTTGCTTCCTTCTTTCCTTCCTTCCCTTCCCTTGCCTCCCTCTTTCCTTCTTTTCTTCCTTTCAAAATTTTAAAATATAAAAATAACAATTGCTCATTATAAAAGAACCAAAGTACATGTAATTATAAGAAGTGTAAAGTACACGTCCTAAATCTCTCCCTTTTCTTCTTTTCCAACTTCTTCTCTTCTTCCTTCACTTTAAAAAAAATGAAAGGAATGTATGCTTATTATAAAAAAATGAAACAATAGAGAAGTGTAAGCCGTAGAAAGGAAATCTAATTCCTATTTTTTCTTCCCTGCTCTTTCTTCTTTTCTTCCCTTTCTCCCCCTTCCTTTTTTCATCCTTTCCCTCTATTTCAGAAATTAAATAAGTAATATCACTGTGAAAGACTCAAACAGTGTAGAATTGTTATGATTTATAAAGGAAATGTCCTAAAGCTTATCTTTCTTCCCTAGCCCACATTTCCATGCTTGACATGTAGAGTTCTGTCATTCCTTTTAGGAGCTGCATAGTATTCTGTTGGTGAAGCTCCACTGACTTACTCATTGGGTGCCAGGTAAGTTTCTGAAACATACCTTGGAATTATTGTAAAGGTTTAGACGAAATAGAAGAAAAATATAAATTGGCTTCTTTGGTGCTGAAAATTCCATTTTATAGATAGTGATCCTATCCATTTCCGTGGCACCTTATGCTTTGAAAATTGCCTTCGAACTATCATTTCATTTGATCCTCTTCGAGAGAAGCTCAGGGAAATAGGCAGATTTTAATCTCCATTTTTACAGATAAGGAAACTGAGTCCCAGGGACGCTAAGGAACAGAAATAAATATGGTCTCACTGTTCCTGATTTTCAGTATAGCCTTCATATACTCTATAAATTTAAGCTGCATTTCATCTTACAAGTCATAAAAGATTTAGACACCTCCATACTTGTAAGCTAGTAGTTTAGAAAATCCACTCAGGTCATACAAAGTCTCTTGTTAATGAAAATGGCAGTAGAGCACTTGGTAGATATGATGAGCTTGATTAACGGCTGGTGCTCATACAAGTTCAAAATTCATTTGATCTTCTAATTGGATTCTGTTATATTACATGTAAAGTGAGTCTATTCACTCCATATCCTACTTAGAAATGGAAAGAAATGCAGTATGCTACATTATCCTACAGGAAAAGAAATGGTTAAATCAGTAGTAAAACATTGAGAAGTGTATTTTATTTAAGATCAGAAAATGCCAGTCAGAATTCTACTGCCAAGCTTCTGTACTATGTTCAAATAGGATTTGCGATTTAAACAAAATTTTGTTTGGAGAATTGGGGCTTTCAGTGTATTTTCCAAATAAGATGCTTCTGTTACAATTAATTAAGGAGAAAAGCTGTGTGAATGTAATGAGATGGTGGTCAATTCCTCTAAGCAGATTTGCTTTAATGATTTGATGAATTCCTTTTGTCAATAAGATCTTTCATTATGTTCCTTCAACTCTGATGTGATCATTACACAATGTATACATGCATCCAAATATCGTTATAGCTCATAAATATGTGGCATAATATGTCAATTAAAATGAAAACAAGAACAACTAAAAAGTCTAGGATCATTAACACTGGTAGTTGGGTGGAAGTTGTGTGCATTAAGGTTGTATGCATCACACTTTGTAGTCAAGTATATTGTGGGTGTCTTCCCCACTGGGCTAGCTGCCCCATAAGGGCAAGGGTCTCTATCTTGTCTTCTCAGTACTGTGTTCCCAATAATAACACAGTGTCTGGCACATAGTAGACATTTAATAAAATTTCTTGAATGAATATACAGATAAATCAATCAGTGAGGTTTCAGCCAGTGTGGATAACTCAGGCAAGTCAATCCTTGGGTCAACTGACATGGCTTTAAGCAATAGGAAGGAACCTTAAGTGGAATGTAAAGGAGAAGCACTGTCATGTAAACTTGTTTGCTCTGAATCTGAGATGGACATATTTTTGACCTTTTGAACACAGGTTTAGACAATGAAAGAACACATCGTACATCAGAGGCTTTATGGAGTGATTCTCATATCAAGTTTTATCTTTCTCTCAGGTAAGAAAATAGTATGTTATTATCTCTTCCAATATCTCATATATATAGGTTCAAGAAGCAAACCATTTGAAAATACAAGTGGAGATTTGCCGGGCTGCCTCCTTCCTTTGGGTCAGTATAGTTAGGACAAGCTAGACCTTTGGTAAGTGCATACTTTCCCTCAGTGTTTTGAATGACCAGTGGAGAACAGTCTCAAGCAGGCAATAGCTTGGACTACTGCCTTTAATATTTCTCACTGCAATTCTAAAACGCCATTTGGTGGCCAGTATACTCTTCACATAAGATTTAGGTTTTCTTTAGGGCCATTTCCTCTCATGCATAATGATTCATTTAAAGTTCCCATAAGTGTCATGATATTGTTTTCTGTCTCCATTATATGTTTATAGCAATGATCGTAGAATATGGACAAGGAAACTGAGGAGTGCTAAAAGCTACAGTGATGCACAAATGTCTGAAAGGGCCCATACTCTGTGGTAGGAGTGGAGATAGAGTGTTTTTATTTTGCGGTGAATGGAAGACGAGATAGTTCAATAAAGCAGCTGGTAATTTGGAGATTTTAAGTAGAAGACTGTTTTGAAAACATGCAATCTCATTCTTATTAAATAAATTCAGTTGATAACATTGCTCTTTTAGAACACCAGTCTTTAGCTAAAAGGTCATAAGAGTTACTGAGTGACAATTCCTAAGGAAATTAACCTGGGGTTTGATTTGTAACACTGTTCAGATTTTAGAGAGATCTTTTGGAAAAATACCAAATCATCATCACCATCAATAGCAAATACTGACTGGCTCTTTGCTGTGTGTTCAGGGCCTGATGGAAAACCACATTTCTTATAATAAAGGTTGAAATGGGACCTATGGGGCACAGTGGCGACTTTATCACCTGGCCTTGCCTCCCTGTTGAGATGTTGATTTATCTTTCCCCCGTCTGTTTCATTAAAGGCAAGCAACTTTTTCTCTATTTCTTTACCCAAAACATCCAAACCAGGACTTGACACATAGATTAGACTCACAGTACATATGTGCTGAATTATTAAATGAATGCAACTTGAAGAAGTAAAACTTTGGACATCTGTATGAGGAGGATATATATGATAGAACCTACAAGGGTTTTGTGTCATAGGTCAGGAAGCATGGAGTAGAGGCATCTAGGAATACAGAGATACAGGAGTCTAGTGTAGGCACAGAATAAAAAGTACTGAAAAGTGGTACTGAAAAGTTTGGATGTGTTTTTTGAGGAATATCATTGGCCAGTAAAAATTATTATAAATGTACGGATTTTAAACATGTAAAGGTTACTTTAAAGCAGTCACAAGGTTTTCCAGACTGTCTTAGTCTCAAATTCATGAGTCAAAGCAGTGATCATTTTAAGTTATCAAACAATTATATATGGTTGTCTGCAGATTGATGAGAAACACATCACTTTCTTCTTGGGAAAAAAAAGACTGAAGCAGTGGTATAACTAAGGTCTAGGTCCCTTTATGCTCTAGACAAGCCACAAGCCTCCCAACTATGAGGGTCCTTGTGGGGGAGAGATTAAGGCTAGATCAAGTAGCAGGTGACTCAGAAATGCACGAACTGGATGGGACCAGAGGGGAGTGAACTGTTGGTAACTCTGGTTCTCTGTGGTTGCCTGTATCATGGCAATGATGATGTAGATAATGAAGTTTCCCATTATTAGGCACCTTCATAGTATTCCTGCTCACACAGCTATGGGTTGGCTACACCATGATCTGGTTTGTAATGTTTTCCAATTCTTTTGAACATTGATTTGCAAGGATTTGTGATACTAAGAGCCAGAAGAGCTCTTGCTTAGGTAGAACAAGCTAAGGGTACGTGTGGAGTACCCTTGCAGAATGCTCACCTTTCCCCAAAAGTGACCTGATTTTCTGAAGCATAGACACAACCAATGCTTCTGGTGGGCCTTTTTCTACAAATCTGCTCCTTTGCCTTCTTTCCCTCCCTTGACAGAAGGGATTGCCACATGGTTGGTTGGACCTTGAGCCTTTCCCAATACTATAAGTTGAATCGTGTCTTCCCCAAATTTATAGTTTGAAATCCTAACCCTCAGTACCTCAGAATGTGGTCTTATTTGGAAATAAAGACATTGTGAGTGTAATTAATTAAGATGAGATCATACCATAGTAGAGCAGGCCTCTAATCTAATACAAATGGTGCCTTTATAAAAAGAGGAAATTTGAACCCAAACATGCACACAGGGAGAAGACTATGGTAAAACTAATTGTAAATACCAAGGGGATGTAACTGCAGGATAAAAAAACCAGCAAATATTACCAGCAAACCATCAGAAACTAGGAGAGAGACATGGAATGGATTCTACCCTGACAGTCCTTTGAAGGAACCAGCTTTACTGACCTTCAGAATGATGAGACAATAAAATTGTCCTTCTTAAGTTAGTCAGTTTGTGTTACATTGTTAAGGTAGCCCTTGAAATCAAATAACACAGAAATGATTCTTTGTTAGGCTCACTGGCTCCTAAACCTTGAGTTCACAATAAGGAAGCAGGTTCCCTTATCGGGGAGAAAATAGTGAGCAGATCACACCCCTAGTGCCTGACCTTTGGAGAACACCATTTGGCTACTATCCCTAAGATCATGTAGGATAGTGCATCTGGAATTCAGTCCCCAACCTTTGAAACACGGCAACATTTTAAGGAGAAACTTTGCAAAGAAAGGACTGAAAAAATCATTATAAAATAAGTCTGATGGTTACTTAATGTTTTCTGCAGTTGGAAAATAATCATTTGGAACTGTCTTAGGGTTCTAAACATTTTCCTCACTGAGTTTTAAAATAAATGTATTTTTTACTTTGGAGGTCTGGTAGGGAGGGGGATTTCTGCTGATTTTTTTTTTTTTTGGTCAAAAGTTCCTTAAAACAGAGGGCAGAGCACAAGTTCCGTCTGCTCATTTTGTGGTAGGTGCTTTTTCCACATCCCTCTCTCTTTACATGAGATAGTGACCTCCATTTGCCCACGCATCGACCTCCAACTCTGTAACACAAACAGAGCTCAAACATTTACACATTAGTTACGAGTGACTGACTGTGTGCCAACAAAGTTGGATGCCCCAAGTCATACCAGGTACACAAATTAATTCAAAATGGATGAGAGACCTAAATGCAACATGTAAATCTATACAACTCTCAGAGGAAAGAACAGGAACAAATCTCCATTGTCTTGGATTTAGCAATCGGTTCCTAGAAATGACAACCAAAGCACAACCAACCAAAGACAAAACAGATAAATTGGATTTTATCAAAATTAAAAAAAATTTGTGCATCAGAAGATTGTCAGATCAACCTACAGAATGTGAGAAATATCTGCAGGTCATATCTCTGATAATGTTCCAGGTGTGAGCATAAATAACGATTATATCTCAATGACAAAAAGACAACTCAATTAAAAATAGGCAAAGGACTTCAATAAATATTTCTCCAAAGAAAACATGCATGCAAATTGCCAACAAGAATATGAAAGCATGCTCAATATCATTAATCACTACAGAAATGCAAATCTACACCACAGTGAGATATCACTTCATACCACCTAGGATGGCAGCAGTAGTAGTAGTCACAGTAGTAGTAGTAGTAGTAATAATAATAATACTAGTAGTAGTAGTACTAGTAGCAGCAGCAGTAAAAACTAGCAAGTGTGAGGAGCTGGAGAAATTAGAACCCTTATGCATTGCTGGTAGGAATGTAAAATAGTGCAGTGATTTGGCACACAGTTTGGCTGTTTCTCTATAATTTAAACATAGAAGTTCTATATAACCCAGTAATTCCAGTCTTAAGCATATATCCAAAAGGAATGAAAACATGTATTGAAACAAAATGAATGGCATAAAATGAAATGGAAACATTTTATTGAAACAAAATGTAGCAAAAACCACACTAGCACTACTCACAAAGGTAAAAGCAGAAACAACCCAAATACACACTCACAGATGAATCAGTGAACACAACAAGGAGTCTACACTGTGGAATGTTATGCAGTCACACAAAGAACGAGGCACTGATAAATGCTACACCGTGGATGAACATTATGCTCCAAAAGAATGCAGACACAAAAAACCACATACTGTATGATTCCATCTATAAGAAATGTCCGGATTAGGCACACCCATGAATATAGAAAACAAATTAGTCATTGCCAGAGGATGGGAGAGGGGTAAGCTCAGAATAACTGCTCAGTTGGTACAGCATTTCATTGTGGACTTGCTAAACACCACTGACTTGTTCACTTTTAAATTGTTAAAATGATGAATTTAATGTTATGTAATTTTTCCCAGTACAAATTAAATGGTGCTCAGTGCTCCTGGGGCTGTAACACGCATTTTAATGAGGCCTAATGATGAGCTTTTCCTAACAAGGCACACACTTACTGTGTAATGTTAAGTGAAAAAAAAAAAAGGAGCCCATTTTCCACACAATATGATCTCAGCCAAACAGAAGCAAGAAAAACTTGCGCACAGGAAAACCAAAACCAAACAAACAATGAATCAGAGGAAATATACCAAGGGGTTCATGATGGTCTCTGGGTGGCAAAATTCTTTCTCTGGCTCTGTTCTCATCTTTTTACTTCCTAAGACTTTTTGCTTTTTCTTTAACAAGGAAACATGTACACTGTCACTTTTATAAGGGAACGACGCACCTGTATTTTTTTAAAGTAGGGAAAATATTAAATGGGATTTGAACTTAAAAGAAGCAGTGGATAGAGGTGAAGAGACACAGAGAAGCCAAAATCAAGGGAGAACACACTTTGGGGGAGCAGTCATGCAATTTGGACTTGGAAATTGCCAACGAACAGATGGTAGTGTCCAAGCAGACATCTGCAATGGATAGCGAAATCATATGCAAAGACACAAGTGGCCTTTGAAGCAGGCCCTTGACAGGCTTCCCAGAGAAGACCATTTGTCTGGCCAAACAGAAGGGACAAACCCCTCTCTGCCTTATCGCAGCTTGGCCTCCTCAGAGCCCAGCCAAGGGCCTGGAGGCTGCAGCAGGGCTCAGTGCAGATGCACTTGCATGTGTGAGGCCATGCAAGTGGTTGTGGGAGTAGAAAAGTTTCTACTAATGATACTGGCAAACATCACAGCTGACATTTACATGGCACCTCAGTTTATAAACATTCTCATGCAGATAACCTAAATGTTAGCTGCTGTTGCATCCTCTTTTCTAATGGCCCCATGAGGTAGGCAGTTCTTAATCCCATTTTATCATGAATGTACAAGGCACACAGAAGTGACACAAATTTATTTATTTAACATTTATATAGTGCTCACTATCTGCCAGACACCGTCTTGAGAGCTTTATGTTCATTAATTGCCCATGTCCACAGCTACTGAGAGACACAATTGGGACACAAATCTGGCTTTTCAGACACTATGACACCACTCTTCTGCTCATGTCTAAGTAGAATTTACCTCTGTCTGCAGAATCTCAAGTAAGGTCACAAGTGGTTCTATTTATCTGTCTATCTATCTATCTGTCTATCTATCTACCTATCTAACTATCAATCTACCTATCTATCTATCATCTATCTATTCATGCATCCATCTACCCACCCACCAGTCTATATTTTCTGATTATTAACATAATACATGATTGCTAAAAATACAGATTTTACTAAAGTAAGTAGCACAGAAAGTCAAAATCTCCCTAAATCTCACAGTAAACATAATTATTCTTGACTTTTTGATACATGTTCTTCCAGGCTTTTTTCTCAGTGTAGGCAAACACACATTTTAATTTTATTTTAATATGAGAATATGTACCCACACTTCAGTGAGTCCCATTTCACATAATATTAAGCCTTGAAAATCTCTTTATGACTACATTAGGTCGACCTCAAGTGTTTTAACACTCTATCATGTAGAAGTAGTAATTTTCCTAAGCAGCTACCTAGTGATAGATATACAAGCTTTTCAATGTTTCTTCATTAGAAACAATGCTGCAATAAATATTATTGTACTTGTAACTCTGTGTATATGTATATTGGTCTAGAGTAAATGATGGAATGGAATTGCTGAGTCAAAAGTATACACATAATTAAAATTGTCATAGATATTGATAAATTTTCCTTCAAATATACTACATAATTGGCACTCTCACCAGCAGCAAGAGTGACTCATTTCTATATGGGCTTGCCAAAGTGGGGTATTCTTGGTCTTCCTAAATTTTATCAATCTCATAGGCAAAAGCGGTATCTCATTATTGTAGTAATTTGTTCTTGAAACAGTGAAGTGACATATTTTTATATTATTGGACTCCATATTTCTGATTTTGTAAGTTGCTCATTCCTGTCATTTGGCAACTGGCTTTACATTAGTATATTGCAGAGAGGAGAGGTCCTTGCAGGCCATATGAGGCTATAATACATTCTTTTTGAGGGAAAGTAAACTCCTGAGATTTATGCTCACCATAAAGCCAGTTCGTAAATGTTGTGTTTGACGTCATTTTGGAGAGCTCAGCAGAAAAAACTGTGTTAGTTAACCAACAGTAATTGAGACTTCAGTTTCATAGTAATTATTGTCTTGTGGGATTAACTCTTGATTTATTAGCCACATGAAGCATAAGATAACACAATCATTTTAGCCAGAGACAGAAAAAGCATTTGTTCATCTGCCATAGGCAGTTCACAAATAACTGGCAAATGGGTGATATGATTCCCACACATGGATGTGTGCAGGATGAACATGTGTGTGCAGCAGGCATGCACATGTGCCCCTTTGCTTTTGGAGAATGTCCAGTAGAGGAATGGAGAGAGAAAATACTGTACGGTCAGAGAATATCTGGAGGCTCTCATCCACGGGCATCTCCTGGAAACAAGGAAACAGTAAGTTCTGGGCAGCTTCTGTCATGTGCGGTTACGTATGTTACACTGTTTCCGAGTGGTGATCACTGTATTACCACACAATTCAGAGACAAGTTTCAATTTCATTCTGTCAAAAAGCTCTTGGTTTGGCTTGGACCATACTGGGATTGGAACTAGGTTAGTGTTAGTCAATCCTCAAATATTTGACTAGTGGTCTGGGGCTGTGAGGTTTCAATAATATCACCATTCCATAACTTCCTATGAGACAGGGGACATACCCAAATTAAATTTTCATAGATACTGTCAAATTGCCTGTCAAAAGACTATACCAATGGAGGTGCCCTTCATTAGTGTCTGAGAGGGCTTTGTGTACTTCATCTCACTTAATCTTCAAATAATATTATAAGTCAGTGGGGGCTGTTTGGCATGGACTCAAATGTGAGTGGTGATGCGTTTTGTTGGGTAGACACAACACTGTGACTTCGGGTCCCCATTTTACTGAAGCATACATTGAAACAACCAGGAGTTCAGTTACCAGCACGAGGTTACACAGCTTATGAGTGTCAGAGCCGAGACTCCACCTCAGGCTGACTCCAGAGCCGATGGTCACCGGGACTATAACTGTCTGGAATGCCTTAGTGCCACCCTGGCCCCCTCAGCACAGAGAATGAGGGCATGTGGGTGCACTGAGCGCAGTGGCACCTCTTCCATTTCTGAGCCCAAGCAGAAGCCTTGGAGCTTCTGGATTGCCCGGCTGGTCATCTTTCAGGCATTTGTCAGTGCCATTCAGTGAGAAGCAGTCTCCAGAGACAGAATAAATCAGGTAATTTGGCTCAGGAAAAGACACTGGAGAAACAAATTAACCGATGCATCATGAATATAATAAGGTAGTTAGGTGGGTGGAAATAATTCTCTTTTGATTATATGCATGAGGATTATGTGTAGAAAATTTGATGTTCAGGCTGCCTTTCCTTGGTCTCTTCCCCGACTAGCCACAGACTTGCAATGACCCCTCCAAACTGTCCAGCTAGTGTGTGCTCCGAGTACGCTAATCTAACGTTTCGTTATTAGCCCAGGAAAAAAAAGAATTGCAAAGAAATTCTTCTGCCAAAAAAAATCACATGACAATGTCAAAAAGATGATTTTTGTGTTCCTACTATTTGCTTATTTGCATAGGAGTGAGTCATAATTATATTGCACAATTTGACTAAACTGCCAAAGATGATAAAAGACTTCTAACTGAAATTCCATTTGTTTTCTCTTTCTCCCATCTTCAAATGTGGACAGATACGCTTTCACTAAAAGGGAAAAGGCTGGATTTTTACGGAGGAGGCGACACACACGTAAGCCTGACCAACACCGTTCCTGAACTCAGCCGATTCACAGCATGCATTGATTTGGCATTCACGGGTGACAGTTCAAGTTATTGGATAGCCTTCTCCTATATTACTAATAACCCCTTCCTGGGCAGAGAAAACATAGACCTTGGACTTGCAGGGAACCATCAACAGCTAATACTATACAACTTGGGCAAAACCTTTTATATCAGTTACCATCTAATTCCGTTTCAGCGGCATACAGTATGCTTGATATGGGATGGTGTGAAAGGCAGATTAGAGCTCTTCCTGAATAAAGAAAGGATATTGATAGTAATGGATCAGCCACAAAACCTGATGCCTAACGGGACTCTGGTCCTAGGACACTTTCCGAAGAATGCAGTTGGTCAGATTAAAAATTTGGTACCTCGCTTTACCGGCAGCTTGTACTACTTTCAACTCTGGGACCGCATTCTGGAAAATGAAGAACTCATGAAGTGTTTAGGCGGCAATGTAGTTAGTTGGGAAGAAGATGTTTGGCTTGCCAACAAGATCATCCCAACTGTTGACAGGAGACTGCGCTGCTGTGAGTAACTTATGAATTTTTCTCCTTAGCAAGGGTGACATTGCTCCGGTACCCCTCAGCTTGCTACTTCACGTAGTCCACCCTTAGATCAAGGCTGTCTTCCTCCAAGGAGAGAGCGAGGTTCCCACAATTTTGTCATCTACTTTTTCGTGTACAATAAATACCAATTTTCTCTTACCTTTTATTTGGATTCCATTTCAAACTTAAAATTTGCGAGAATAACAAAACTTACACACTGTTTCCTCAGATTCACCAAAGCTTAATGCTTTTCCATTTACTTTAGCATTCTTTCTACCTGAATTTCTCTCTTCTCTCTCCCCCTGCTCTGCCTACACACACACACACACACACACACACACACACACACGTGCCTGCAAAATTTTTGATTCTGAATCATTTGAGAGTAAGTTGCAGGCATGGTCTGATTCTTTTTTATCACTGAATATCTCAGGGTGTTTTCCCTGAGAATAATGAATTCTCTTACTTAACCATGATACAATGATCAAACTCAATTGAGCATCCATACAATATAAATGACTAACTCACAGTTCATATTCCCATTTAGCCAATTGCTCTAATAATTTCTTCTGTAGTTATTTTCTTTTTGCTTGGTCTAGAATCTAATCTGAAACAGACCCTCCTGCAGAGTTTCCTTGTCCTTTGGGACTTAGACATTTCTAGCATGCAGTCCAGTTATTTGGTAGAATGTTTCCTAATTTGGTTTTGCGTAATGTTTCTTCAAGGTTAGGGTAAGTGTGTGCTATGTACTTTGGGCGAGAACATCGCAGAAGTGATGCAGTATTCTCAGTGTATCTCATCAGTGGACACAGGGTGGCAATTTGTGCCACTATTCATGACAATAACTTTCATCATTTGATTCTGATGTCCATCACATTTTTCTGCAGCAAAGTTATTGTTTTTCTTTTATAATATTACATAATTTCTGATGAGCTATTTGGAAGTTATATAAATATCTTTTTCTTATCAAACTTTTACCCAGGAATTTTATACTTAATGATTTTTGCCTGAGTCACTATTGTTATGATGGTAGCAAAATGATGATTTGTTAAAAACCTCTTTTATTTTCTACATTTATTAGTTGAGATTCTGTTGTAAGAGTTTTCTCTTCTTCTATTTTTACTTATTCATTCATGTGTTTTTAAAATATAAGTAGGATATTATAGATATCATTTTATTCATTGTGTTGCAATCTGTTACTAGGTTTATTCTGATGCTCAAATTGGTCCAAATTTGACCAGTGGGAACCCTTCAATCTGGCACTTGTGCTCTTTAGACACTTTCCATCATTCTTTTTTTTTTGTCTTTTTGAGACAGGGTCTCGATATGCAATTCAGGATGGCCTTGCGCTCACTTTGTAGCCCAGGTTGGCCTCGAACTTACAAGGATCCTCCTGCCTCAGCCTCCCGAGTGCTGGGATTACAGGCATGCGCCAGCCCACCTGGCGGTTCCATCATTCTTTGATCATTTTCTTGCACAAGATGTTCCAGGCTTAACATGTACTTTTTCTGTTCAGCCGTTTTGCCAGTGAGACTTAGTCTTGGTCCCTTTGAATGGGAATAGTACTTACCAACAATTCACTTTTCTTGTGAGTACCATCATGATACTGAAGAACTGTTTGTAATGGAGTTCTTGCAAAAAATCCCTTTCTTCTTGGAATTATACATGCATTTTTCTCCTTTCTAGTTTTTAGAAGGAAATAAAGATTGTTTTTCTCTGTACAACTCCTCTGCTCCCTCATTTCCAATTCTCTCTACCAGTAGCAGCAGCAGCAATCCTGAAGCGGGTGTATTTAATAATAATAATAGCATCAAGATAGGATTTCTCTCCTTTCCTGGGGTGTTCACTTACAGCAGTATTATTTATTGTTTTTATGGCTTTTGGGGAAGGGAGGTTAGGAATGGAATGGAGGTTATAGCCAACCCTAAGAGGTCATTCACAGACTATGGGGATATGTGTTCTTCAATAATCTTGATGCTATTTGAGTTAATGGCAGATACACATTGCAGGGAATTTCTGTTTCTTTGAGATCAGACCAAAGCAAAGGAACAGGAAAGCTATTGCTTTATGCTACTACCTGAAGATACTTGGATTCTCTCTTTTGGGGGCCTTGAAAATAAATGAGGTAGTCCCGGCTAGTTCTAGCTAGGGATTAGTGGCTTAAGCCTGCACAACTTACACAAAGCAGTTTAAAGTAATGTCATCTTTGATTTAAGGAACTGGAAATATGGCCCTGGAAAACTGCATGTTTTTGGCAGTGGTCTTTAAAAACCTAATATATGCAGCTAATGGCCATGCCCTTTTGTATCACTTGGTTGACAAATAACTCAGTCTAATTGATGTGTTAAATTGCTATACAAGTTTCATTTACTTTGCTCTTTTGTACATTTTAAAATATATAATCCATTCCCTTAGTCTGATTCAGTCCTTGTGGACATAATACACAAATAATCCAACAGAATAAACAGAAGAAAATGCTACCTAAAATGATGATCAAACCCAAAGGGTAGAAAACATTCTCTTTATTACTCAAGTTTCTTCAAGTGTTCTTCCCAAGTCTTTGGACAGGAGTTCCTAACCTGAGGGCTGGAATGGTCTTAAAGGAGTTCACAAAGCCCTTAAAATTGTACCCAACACTAAAACTGCAAGGTGGACTTTTTTTCCCTGAGGACAGAGTCTAGTTTTCATGACATTATAACAATACGGTAACTTTTACCAAGTTCTTACCATGTGCCACGCTTTTTATAGATGAGGAGAGAGAAACTCAGAGAGATTAAGCAAATTGCCTAAGATCTCCAGTCAAATAAGTAGTAGAGTTGAGGTATGAACAAAGATGTGTCTGCTTGCAAAGCTCATCTTCTTTTCACCCCCACATTGTGCAGGATTATGTGAAGGAAACCCATGACCCCAAAAGGTATTGAACAGTTGCCTTAGAAGCTTTCTTTGCAAGGAATTTCTGACATTGATGACCCACTGTGGGAAATTAGGCTACCAGCTGGACTCACTGCCGGCCTCATCGCTGAAGTATATACGATACTGTAGGACTTCTCGTACTTCTGTCTTAGCCACAAGATGTCCAAGAATCGGGTGGCAATATGGGAATAAATATGAGTGATTATAACATGTCTAGCTTTAGCTTTTGCTTAATTGGCATTTGTAATTTATAGAAGGATTATGACCTTTGAAAGAAATTTTCATGAGCACATTGCTAGGCACAAATTTCTATAAATCCATTTATACTTAAGAAGGATTTTGTGGAGCATTTGCTGAAAAATATGAACCATTTCTAGGCTTACTAAGTACTCATGGTAGTTAAGATGTCTCGAGAATATTTAAACAGTACAGTAGTAATAATTACAAAGGTGTTAGTTGTTAGGAATTTATTTTGGGGGTCTTTTAATATCTTCTTTCCCTTATTTTTAAAAATTACAAGCACAGTATATATGGTTGTGAATAAAACAGATTTAAACAATACAAATATATACGAAGTGTATAGTAACCCCTCCCCCATCTTCTCCATAGAATTTTCTACCTCTAAAGACTTTCTCATGGGTTTATGAGTGTATGTGCATTTGTGTGTGTAACTTAAACAAAAACAAAATACGTGCACATACATACACACATACATATTTTTTCTACAACTTGATTTGTTTTAACACTATTATTATGGACCCATAAGTACACTTAGAAGTATTTATTTGTTTGTATTTTTTGGCACTGGGAATCAAACTCAGGATCTTGTGCTTGCCAGGCAGGCACCCTGCCTTTGAGCTATATCCCCAGTCCTGCTTAAAACTATTTTTAGGGCTGTCCGTATTGCATTTTATAGATGTAACTTAATTTATTTGACTAACCTACCACTGATGGATATTTAAATTGCTTCACTTTTTGCAGTTACAAATAATGCTACAATAAGTTTCCTCATACACACTTACATCTTGGCATACATGGGAGTGGGATTTCATAGGATACATTTCCAGAAGTAGGATTTCTCAGAAAAAGCATATAAGCTTTTGCAATTTAATTGATTTATCATTTTACTAGTTATTTAATTAATCAATTATTGTTTAAAGTGAGTCCTTAAAGTAAAATTAATAGGTACACACAGTAAAACATTTTAAAAATATGAATTCAAAACGAAAGTTTCCTTTCGTTTCAATCCCTTACCTCAAGTACCTCTTGCTCAAAATATTTATTAACAATATCTTAGGTATATTTGCAGAAAAATATAAATGTTGGATTTACATGTCGATGTTCTTTTTTCAGTTGGGATCATCATATACATAGGCTTCTGCAACTTTTTTAAATTTAGGAATACATTGTGGCAATATTTCCATATCAGAAAATATAGAACTATCTGATTATTTCTGGGGGTAGGTTGCTGAACAGAATTATAGAATAAGGGTATGCTATAATTTTTTTAAAAAATTTTACTTGAAAGACTAAACTTTTTCTGGTTTTTAGCTGTGATAAAAGTTACAAGAAAATTTTAGTGTTTGGTGACGACAGTAATGTCTTAGAATAAGTATTAAGTACTGATCAAAACCTGAAGTTCCTCTTTAGGTATGGTGAAAACAATTTCCTAATCTGAACCCAGACACAGGTTCCAAAAAAAAGAATTTGTTCTGACTGTGAATACATGAAGATGAAACGTTTTCCAAAGACATAAGGACTAAATCATCCTTTCATACATTGGCGAAATCCTTTCTCTTGAAAAGAATGAAATAACATGAATAGAATCTATCCTGGGAAATCTACACTGTATTAAAACATAGCATTTCTTTATTTGTGCTGTCCTTACTCTGCTGAGATTTATTAATTAACACTCCAGCTGCTTTGAATTATTTTATAATCTGGTTATATGCAAAAATATGCAGAAATGGATTGTATAGTTTATGTACTTTCTAAAGACCTATTTTGGCCTACTATTAATGCGTCTATCCAATTATCAGCTCTCATATGAAAAGCTCCATAGTGATGGG